ACACACACACACACACACACACACACACACGCACACACGCACACACACACGGTTCACAGCTCGCAGTGGAGATGATAAGACACCGTCAGAGCGATAAACAAATCATTCTTATCGACGTTACCTGAGCCGATGGTCTCATAGACCTCATAGTATCTGTGGAGCTCGTCAGCCCCGCGGGGCTCGGTCCTTTCCACGGGCATCGTCCCGTCCTCAGCCGCACGGCGATAACACTTCCTGCGGCCAGAGAACAGGGCTTGCAGCGGCAGTTCTTGCACTCAACTCACTGAAAACACTGAAACAAGCTTAACGGGAAAACTATCTTAGTGTTCAGCATCAACATTAGAAAGTTAGCACCGAGTCTGTCCAACATGCTCTGGCTAACTAGCTAACTATCTTAACCTATGCAGAGCAGACCGGAAAAAGTGGAATCACAGCTACAGACAACAAGCTCTTAGTGAAGCCGGGGAAACTACGAGCTGACTGACTGAGGTTACCTGAGTTAGTCTGAAAACTGGAGGCGAAGTCCGTCAGCAACCATGAGCCGAACGAGCAGAAGGAGCAGGAGGAGCAGAGGGAGCAGGACACTCAGCTCGGACACAAATGTTTCTCAAACAAGTTTGAATTTCGTACGTTGACGTTGACTTCACTTCCGGTTTCCGTTTGGTGCTTCGTCCGCGCCCTTGCGGTGAATAATAGTTACTGCAGCCATTCAAACAAAAGGTCTGTACTCAGATGAAGTGGAAATAATAAAGTACTTGTATAAAACTTTAGAAAGTACTACATGAAAGTATGTTTGTATTTAAGGAAAATATAGATGAAGTCTTGAAAGTAAAAGCATTAAATGCAGGGATTTGGCTCCGGTGATTGTAGGTGATATCCAAATTCAAATAAATAGACATAAATGTACTGAAGTAAAAGTAACAAACTAACGTTTCTAAATCAGTAAAAACAAATGTTCTTTCTTTTAAATGTTGAAAGTTCTCCGGGAGAGTAGCTTATTCCTTAATGCAAAACTACACTGTACCTACTGTATATTGCTGCCGTTGCAGGAGGTGGCGTCTAATTGCGGAGTAGAAAGGAGTACAAAGTACAGATATTTTCTGATAAATATGTCGTGGAGACAAATGTACTTAACTACAGTAAAAAAGTAACTGAACTTTGTTACATCCCTCCACTGGGTATACAATCATGGATTGATTACTGAGCGGGCCTACTGTTAACCCTGGAGTCAGGGGGGGTCACCCTGGGGGTCACCTACAAAACAACCACAAAGACACCTAAACCAACAAGAGAAGTAAAACAACTACAACAAGACAAAAAACACCATGAAAAAAAGCAAAATTACTACAAAGAGATTTAGCTGGACTACCAAGTCATGCAAAGTGACAAGAAGAAGAGACGAGGCAATCACAGTGAGGCTGAAAACAATCACAAAAACATGCAAAATGACGATAATGCAAAGCTACAAACTGTTTTTTTGTTCTCATTTTAGCGAGGGTGTCTTGGTTTGATAGGAGGGGTGGGTGGCCTTTTACTTTGCCTCTGAGCATAGGCAAGAACATGTAAGTTGTGGTAAAAAAGGAAAAGCAGCAAATAATCAGAACAGAGAAGCGGGAACGATTGAATTACATGTACTTTATAAACCTTTGTGTACACCCTCAGCACCACCCCTGGGTTTGACTGCGGCTTTCAAAATGAAATAACACACTGTACAAACAGAGCTACACTGCATGAGGACAGTAACAGTTTTCTGAAAGGTAGTGGTTAGTTGAAAGATTTACCTGCCAACGTACTTTCATGTGCAATCATGTGCAGGTACACGCAACCTGAGGGATGGAAAAGTGTGTGTCGCAATGTGCAAACTGTTCAGCTTGACCCCGTCGGTATGCAGTCGCAGTAGCTGACCAGAGAGGTGCCTTTATGGTGTCAAGAGATGCGTGTGGTTGTGTCTTCACCTGCACCAGTCTTGAGCCTGTAATTAGGAAACAGTGAGAGGTGAGGACAGAGACCCTGACTGGGGTATAATAGACCCCTGCCTACCTGTCAGCCATCAGTAATGACTGTGTACACTCTCTCTCTGTGGAAGTTTGCGTGATGTACAGTAAGAGCCACATGAACTCATCCTGTCTTGATCACTGTTCTTTCATTAGATGCATTGGCAACATACAACATACTGCACCTGGTCTGTTAGAAGACCCGCGACAAGACATCATGCCTTTAAGGCCAGTCACGCATCAGCCTGTAAAATGTTTATGGAGTGAAAATATCACATCTTGACACAAGTCCAACATGGACAGAAAGCTGCCGAGGAATTTCCGTGATTGATCAGTGGTCGTCCTGTGTTTCTCATGGTCGTTAGGGAAGGAGTTGGTCGTTAGGGGAGTAACCAGTGGTTAGGGGATGACCAGGTGTCAGCGGGATGACAGAACCCCTCATTTGGTTTCTGGGGCAGCTGGCCAGGACGGGACAGAGGGACATCAAACAACCCACAGCTGGAGGAGGAGAGAAGGGAAGGCGAGTGAGAGGAGAGAAGAGAAATGGGAAGGAGAAGGGGAAGAGAAGGAAGTGGAGAAGAGAGGAACATTTAGATGGAATGTAAGGGAAACAAATCTTTAATTTTCAGTGGTGAGCTTGATTTCAGTTGACTGTATTGTTCATTCTTATGTCTTTTACTATTTTGTCTCCTTTTCCTCT